TCGCTCCCCGGCCCCGGCCCCGGCCCCGGCCCCGGCCCCGCCGTCCTCTCCTTCCCCGGCCCCGGGCCGGGCCGTGCGCTGCCCCGCACCAGGGAAAGGCTCCGGCCGCGGAATTCCCTTTTTTGGGGTAATTTTTTTTTTTTTTTGCTTTAAATTGGCGACGGCCCAGCGGCTCCGCTCCCTGCGCTGGAGGGCTGAGCCCGGCCCGGCGTCGGCAAAAAGGGTTTTGTTTATTCCACTGACCCCAGCCGCTGCAGAGGGGTGAGCAGCGTCACCCCGGGGCTCGCGTCCCCAGACGAGTTATCCCGCAGCTGCGGGTCCTTCGGTGCGGCGTCCTGCCCGGCGTCGTGCGAGAAACCCCTCCGTCTCCCGGCTAAACCTCCCATTCCTCCTCTCCATGGATTCCCCAGGCCGGAGGCGAGCCCCCCGCCTGGGCTCGCCCACGGGAGCACCCCAGCTGCCGCGGAGAAGGGACCCACGTCGGGACGAAAGCGCCCAAGGAGCCCAAGCAAAGCGAGACAGCCCTCGGCAGGGCTGCAGAGCAGCCCCTACCTCCGAGGGGAAAAATCCCGGGAGGTTTTGAACCTCACTTCAAGGGGAGGTGATGGATCCTGAACCGGAAAAAAAAAAAAAAAATAATGAAAATAGCAGGAGAGCTGAAAAAAAAAAAATTAAAGCAGCCTGGCTTGCTCCTTTAGCTATGGGAGGCTGGTCAAGCCGACACACACGTGAGGGGTGATGCCCCCCTGAAACTCGGTGGGTCCGCAGAGCTCCCTGCGGATGCGACAGCCTGGCCGGAGGAACGGGAGAAGGCGGCTCCCAAATGTGCTGCCCATGTGTTTCGCTATTTCCCATTGAATTTTAGACTAGCCCGAGCGCTCTATCCCCATTTAGCCGGATCGCTCAGCCCTAAAATCCCTTTTAGCATGCAACTCCCCTGGGTCTGCAGCAGTCTCTTCAATTTAAAGAACAAATCCCTCTCGCCTCCAGTTCGAGCCGGCCTGTCCGCTGCCGGCAGCCGGGGTGACCTCGGCGCTGCTGGGCGCTTTTTTTGGTCACCGGTTTGATCGCGGCGGACGGAAGGGACACGTGTCGGGGGAGAATAACCTCTTCACCCAGCTCGGAGAGACTTCGGCGGGACAAAGGCTGGCTGGAGAGCCGGAGCCAGGAAAATGTGGCTAAAAGCATATTTGCTCGGAGAGGCTGTCAGGGGGAGACAAAGGCAGGAAGGAGATAAACGCAGGGAACGAGGCTAATTGCTGGGATTAGTCACCCCGGAGCATTCGGGTGCTGCAGGGGTCAGGGCTGGAGGCCCGAGGAGGTCAGGCGAGGAGAGATGAGCTGAAGAAACGTTTTGGGGAGAGCCTCGGATTTGTTAGAGCCCTAGGAAGGGCCATTTGGGCGAAGAGCAAGCAAAGGGGTGACCAGAGCCTGGACCCCATCTCTCATAGTGCTCCCAGGGCAAGCCACAGGGTCCCAGCTCCCCAGGGACTCCCTGGGCCCCCCCCAGGTGGGGAGAAGCTAGGCAGATCCCAGGGGCACCCAATCCGTCCAGCAAATAACACCTAATTCTGCAGAGGACTCTTGATTCGGGGTATAAACACCCAGAGAAATGTCTCAAAGCTGCATCAGCTCAGCCCGGTGCGTGTCGGAGGCCGGAGCCCTGCGATGGAGCGGGACCAGACCTGCCGCGGAGGGTGACGGAAAGAGGCAATCTGCGTCCACTGTGTTTTGTGCTGCAGGAAAAAAAACATGAGACCCCTCCGGGCTGATTTTCTCTTTGCTGTGAACACGCTCCCTCCCTGCTGCCCCGGCGGGTGCTCCCAGCCCCAGCGTAAACCCATCTGGGCTGCTCTCCCTGGCAGATGAAATCCCCTCTTGCCAGGGAGTTTGCTGGAGCCCGGACCAAATAAGGAACTTGTGGCTCATCTTGGGGGAACGGTGCGCAGGAATCAGTCAGTGTCAGGCGCGCTCGCGAGCTCCCTGCGAGCTCTGCGCCGAGCTCCCGGCACGCCGGTGGCTCACAGGGCTCGGCACATTCATCCGGTAGCTGCGGTACCAAAACCAGCTTTGCAGCAATATTTAGGGAGAGGAAGGAAGGAGAGGGATTTAAAAAAAACCCAACCCTTTTCTTTACCTCTTAAAGTACATTCTAAAACCTGGAGCGATCCTTTGAGCTGGGGCTCAGATGCCTCGGGAAGCTTTTCCATGGGGGAGTGGAGTTTCCATCCTGGGAGTCTCCAGGTCCCTGGGGTGCTGGGAGATCCGAGCTCCACTACCTTTCCAGCTGGCAGGGCTCAGCACTTGCTGTCTCGCCTTTTAGAGCACTGCCTTAATTATTTCTCTTCTCCATCCACCAAGTCATTTTCCCACACTTCTGCCCCGGCCAAGTGGCCCAGGGCCAAGAACCG